ATTATCTCTTTGTCTAACAATTGTTTATTGACTTTATCAATAGTCACTGTCCACCACTGACTATTTTGATGGAAGATGGCGTCCACTAACAAAACTCGATGGTATGTTTCATCAATAGAATCACTATCTTTTAAATGCTGATGTACTACTGATACAATGTTTGCTACACTTAAACGCAAACGGCATTCTGTTACTATATTGATAATATCTTTCCATTCTAGATTCAAATGTAAAATTTTGAATAACTGTTTAAGTTCATTCATGTTAAACCTTTTCATTTTCATAAGAATTTTATCCAACATCAATTTTTCAAGAGTCGCCATTTCTTAATGGTATCAGAGAACTAGAACACAAAAAATCAAAAAACAAAATTATAGAATATTTTTTCAAACTAATATTTTTAGTAAAAAAAATTGTTAATGTTTGATTCCACTAAAACCAATATAATATATTCAAGCCTAACAATAAATTAGTGAAAGCAATTACGTCGGCAATTTCTAATAGTTTTGTTTTTAAAGACTTTATCAAAGTCGTTTAATATTTAAAAGGTAAATAGTAAAATAAAATTGATTAATCTGTAACAAAATAAAAAATAAACATACTAAAATGTTTATTATAGTACCAGTGGTTTTATTTCCAAATTTGTAATGACTATAAGGTATTCTATTTTAAAAAATAAATAATATAATATGACAATTATAGACATTTTACAACAAAAAAGTCGTTACCAGATAAATTGAAACAGTGGCGGCGGTGTGACAACAAAAAACCAGAGGTTCTCCGTATTTGATTTTCAGCCGATTCATTTATTTTTATACATTTATAATAAATAAATTAGTGAGACACCATCCGGTCGAAACACACCACAATTAGTTTGGGCTACACCAACCGAAAAGCGCCACCATCTAAATTTATCCGGCAAGTGGCAATGACTGTACTTACTACTTTGACAATTTAATCTCATGAATAGTAGGTAAACATTACTAACTCAACAATTGTTTAATTATTAATATTAACATAATTAAAGTAAAAGGTAACACAAAATAAATTCTATTCACTATCAATATATAGAATAAAACCTGCTAAATATAAAGAACACAACTAATACAAGCAACTGAAAGATTAAAGTATAGCAAGGACTGTGAATTTTATAACTAAAATTAATATTATAATTTATAACATGAAACCCTATATTTTTACATAAATTAATTATACCAACGTGTAAATAAAATCCAATAAAATAATAAAACATTTCACATTAACTTATTTAATAAAATTAAGAAATATTTTATTTGCAAAAATGTTTTTTTCAAGGTATAATTATAAGAATATATATATTAGAATACCTATATCAGGAATGGCAAAAGACATCACTTTACAATTTTTTAAAGCATGGAATTTAAGAATGAAATAAGTAATATATATAAATAAATAAAATTATGATCTCGTTATTAATAATTAAAAATATAATATAATGAGTAATATAATTTTTAGTAATCAAGTTAGGAATTTACCATCCCTGACCTATATGTTTATACTACCTATTTCATAAAATAAGTTATTAAATTTAAAATACATGTAATAGATAAACATAAAATTTGTTTTATCAAATTAAATATATAATATTCACAGTGAAAACAAATGTTATATAATTATGATTCTGTACAATGTACTTTGTCTTTCATGAATTCTTCAGATACATGACCTAATGTTGAATGATAACTCAACTCTTCAGGAGCAAAAACTTTAACTTTTGCTGCTTTTCCTGTTTTGTTTTTCTTTCTACTCCAAATTATATTTTCCAACCAAACATACAATTTTTGTGCAACAGATGCTAAACCAGGCACATACTTAGCTGTAGTCAATTTCAGTCGTTTAGTTGTAATATTGTGGATTGGGCCAAACGCCAATGCTACTACAGTGCAAGCTAAACATATAACATTGTAAGGCATACTGAAATCAGGAGTTGGTAGTGTAATGATAAAATTTTCTGTTTTCAAACAAATTAAGTAATCGGATCCAGTTGAATTTATATTGTCAACAATTAATGATTTATCAAACGTTAGAGAAGTAGCATGTCTCGGAATTGTGGCTTTCACAATAGCTGAGCCAATATAAAAGCCGTGATTAGCATCTGGTGGATATTCTTGCCACTTCAAGAACACATAATCAAACTGAACAGATATTTCGGTAACCGAACGCGGCGCAAGCTCTAAAACTATTTCTAAATAGTAAATTCGTACTCTTCCTTTCCCCGGTTTATAAATTAAACCTTTTGGTGTAACACGAATACCATTGCTAGTTACTTTTAATGTATGATAGTAAATTGGTAAGAACCATGGGATATTCTCAATGACAGTGGCAATTATAGGTAACCTATGATCATTGTATATGCGGGTAACTAGCCCTCCATATTCTTGTCCAAATCCAGTGATAAATCTATCTGTGTACAGTAATGGCCGTAATTCAGACACAGCAATTTTTGGTCTAGGGACTATAGCAGATAAGTGAAATATGCCATTTAGGTTATAAACAGCAATATTCTTTTTCAAAAAGTAATCGGGTTCTTGTGAAATCAAATAAGGAACGCTAATATTTGATGATGTATCTAAATATATTTTACTGTAATCTGCCAAAGGACATGTCTTGAAMAGACCAGTGCCAAACATCTTGCGAAGAGACCAATCATAGTTGTTATTGAAACTTATAAATACAGAATCATATACTAGAGAAACAGTTTGGCGGAGTTCATATTTGCATTTTCCTGCATTACATAATGGCCTGAAATGAATTCCCAAGGAATGATAGTTGGCATTGTGCACACGGCCAGAGTTCAATAAGCTTGACAAGCCTCGAGTAGAATCACAAGGCAAAAGTTTTTTCCATGGCGTCAAATTTTCAGTACAAACATTTTCTCGAGGTAAATTTGAATACCGATAGACCCTGTCGGCGGATGATTCATAGCTATTGGCACTGTTGATAAAATTCAATGACGTACACAATAAACCAGACAACGCGTTTGTCAGGCCATACCAGTACTTGTCTACATCTTGTGTGTCGTTGTGGAAACGAGCAGATATCTCGGCGCCTGATGGTGCGTCGACGGCCGGATAACCCCAGGACTTGTGTCTCCACAGGCCGGATGTAAGATCGACATTGAGTTCTGCTACATGAAATCTATCGATTATGTCTCCCAACGAGTGTGGAAACAAAGTAGAATGCTTGAAAGAGTCGTCTTCACGGATTATTGTGAACTGAAAAAACGAGTACACGTAACCGGTAGCCAAGGGCTTAATGAACAATTCTTCACTGTAAGTCTCTGAATACGCTGGACCAATGAATATAAACAAAAACCCAAGACATTTGACGTTCATTTTACACAAAAAATAATATATTAATATTATCCGTAGATATTAGATACACAACGTCAAGTAAATATTAAATTTTTAAGGCAAAAAATTAAAAATAATAATAACCGGTAAGTAATGATAATGATAATACGACAAAGTGATAGGATTATCGAAAAATTGAATATTACCGTTTCAGCACAGAATGATACTTGAGCAACAGCAGGACGCGAACGAAAGATGAAAAAGTTTTCCCAAAACTAAACGATGTAAATCCACTAAATCCGTAAACTTCACACGACACACCAGTACACAACATAACGCACAGAGAACCAGTGTTGCCAACAATTGTGAGCAAAAAATGGTCAKACATGAAAAAAAAGGCTAAAAAAAACATTTTATTAAATAAAAATGTCAATAATGTCTCATAAATAATTAAACTATTTTTATCATGTATGCAAACAAAATTACGTTTAAATAATTCATTTTATAAAAATTGGTAATCATCTTGACTAAGGACCCGTTTTACAATCATAGTTTAAACCTCGGTTATGCTTGAACCACTGATTTTACCGGCCGAATTCCGTGGTTTAGCCGGAGTTCAACTTACTATTGTAATACGGGGTACGGGCCCTAAACAAAATGAGTCTGAAATCAATCAACACGCCGGTTACGGACTAGTAAATAGAACATGATCTAAGCAGTCCACGGACGTTTAATAATAATAAGTGATAACTGATTATTACTAAATACTAATGTATCTGATGAAATAAATTAAAGGGCTAGTACATTTTCAGTGGCTAGCGGCTCCTTAAAAAATGGTAGTTTTAGCTATAGACCTATATAAGATTCTTTTATAGGTCTATGGTTTTAGCCACGGACTACGATTATGATGGACCGGTCTCAAAGCATTATCAGTGGAACCGAAATGTCAAAATGATTAGGGAGTTTTAGGAAAACAGTGCCATCTATTATTCAGTTTTAATGATGACAATGCATAATATAAAATAATAACAACTTTGCAATATTTTAAATATAAATTTGATATTTTGATAGTTTTTAGGTACAAACAAGCTTTGAAAACTTTTTTTTTCGCATTATTTTTATTTTTATATTTGTTTATTATAAGTGTATACTGATGCATTCTCGTAATAATGTAATACGATATAATAGACATTAGTACATCACTTTTATGGTCGTGGCATGGAAACTGAATTGGTCCATATTCTGAAAAGAAATTTTCCAAAGTGAGTTCAAACAATTTCCAATTTCCTGTAGATTATAGACAAGTAAATATTTTATAACAAATAATTAACAATGTAAAAATGTTAACTCTTACAATAGCAACATCCGGTGGGATTGAGTATCCAACACGTCTATCGATAAATATGGTTGCGGAACGGCCTATACTATTTTTTTGTAAAACTAAACAATAAAACAACGCAATAAGCCGAGCCGGAATCTTATTGAAAAGTCACGTGACTAAAATGACGAGCCTATCACGCCATCTACGGAATTTGATAGAACTAATTGTACAACGGCTATTTATAGTATATGATCATTATAATTATATTATTGTTCTATGATATTATGCAGATTTGCGGACTATAAACCTGAATATTTATTTATTGCATGCCTACCTATTTATAATATTTATATAGAATTTATAGATGAACATTAATATTTTTGTATYACTATATTTTACTTCTGTATAATAAATTGAAGAGACAAATAATAACCTTTATTACYAAGTCCAACCTTATCAATAGTATTTAATATGTAACTTATATATCATGTAAATAATTTAGAGTTAAACCCATTGTTGCCAATGGCCATAGTTGTTGAGGCTTAATTCAAATAAAAAAGATAAATAATTAAATTGAAGAMCAAGATCATAGGCGAATCTACGGGGTGTGCCGGGTGTGCCAGGCACACCCTAATACATAATATGTTTTATATTTATATATTTATATTATAAAGCTAAACAATTAAATAATAATAATTAATAATATAATATATATACACATTAATTTAATATTAGATTTTGTAAGTGTTCAGAATCAGTCTGAAATAATTAAATATTTAATAAAAATAGGTAATAATTACATGTATTTTTTTTATCAATAATATTGTTATTTTACATTATTAATGAAGCCTGTATATTTATAATTTAAATCACTACACTGTCTACACGTATTGACGTATTTGTTTATTGTTATTGTTAAATTATATTATTCAATGTTATTGTCGTCAATACAAAAACGTCACGGTCGGTCTAATAGTGGTGGTAACTATTTTTAGCGAAAAAATATTGCCTTTTCATGGAAATCGACATCGCACTGATAACAATAAAAAAATTCTAATAATAATAATAATAACACTTTTGGTAATTTGTATTTCATTTATTAATTATTTTATCATTATTTAATCTGATGTGATTTGTTTACAGCTTCATTCCCTCTGTAATATAAAAAAAATAAATACAAAAAAGAGCCGGGCACACTCAAATATAAAACTCTGGATCCGCCTATGAACAAGATTTATGATAGAAATACAGAAACAAAATATTAGAATAATTATATTTTATTAATGAAGTCATACAATTTATCACCTAGAGAGCTCTGTGTGCTGGTGTAAAAGCCAATACACGTTTTGAGCTTCACATTTTCACGGTTCGTTCCGCATTTCCGCAACCATATTATCTATAGCCGTGGTATGCAAATACCATATCTTCCGGAAGAAAATGATCAGCACACACAAATTGCATAACAGAGTCTTTGCAAATATACTTTTTGATCTCCAAATTTCATGCAAAATAATTGTTCTTTGGACATTAAATAGAGAAATCTTCGGATTTTTTTACGCTTGAATATCCCAGAATTGAACACTTCCTTACTTTCATCTTAAATTTTCAAATGTAAAAACATAATCTAAAATGTCTAGTATCGAACTGCCGATTATCGAAGATTAAAAATCAAATAACAATTATAATGAATAAATGAATAAATTATTTTCACTTTCAATATATTATTAAAAAGAGGCGGAAGGCGGTATAGTGTTATCAAGGAATAAATGATAGTATCGTTATTAAAAACCGGGTTGCGCCTGAGAGCATAAAAACCTAGTATCAAGAGTACAGACATATTTTGCGACTCATCCCGCTATACACTCCTCATCATATTTTCGAAACCAGTATAATATATATATAGTCCAGTATAATCATAGTCCGTGCTACTACAATTAAATTAAWATTACTCTAAAAATTTTACAACTTTTGATTTGTTTTTTAAACTGATAACGAAATATCCAATATGCCCCTACTACATTACTGTATTCTACAACTGTTACTATATCCCTACTATCATCCTCATTATATAGAATATTATATTTATTTTATCTATAGATAATAAATTTAAAGCTATAGATAATAGATAATAGATTTCTTTCTTGTTGAGCAGTTGACAGTTGAGCCTTGATCTCATAGCTGTCTCTTTCCTCCTGGTTGTTACCGAGTTCCTTCAATATTAAATTACATACGAGTGTATCAAGTATGTTTCAATAAATATTTCCTAAATTCTATTTGTTTTTTTAGTTAGTAAACAGAGGAAGTTTGATGTAATATAAACACAATTCATTTTTTTAATTTAAAAACACTGTAACAGTAAGTTAGTAAGCACTTGTTAAATTTTATCCATCATAAAATGTAATAGAATTTAGATATAATATCATCAGAAAGTGTCGTATTTGACTTTTATCACTTTTATTTAGTTTCTACCTGTAATGTTTTCTTATGCACTTTTCACATATTAATGCTTATTATTATGTTATTATATTATATTTATTGTGTATTTGTACATATTAGGTGCATATAAAAATAAAAAACATACTAAACAAAATCTAAATTAAGGTATAATTTTCTTTAAGCATTTACAAATTAGATTGATGTGAATGTTTACAAATTTAAAATATCCACATTTTACTTCTTAACTACTAATGTTAACCTAGTGTTAAATTAACAGGAATAAATGAAATAAACATTTTAAAGATTAATTAATTAATTTTTTCCAAAGTAATTATAATTACAGKCCCACTGTACTGATATGTGAATTCTTGGTGATATTTTTGAAAGATTTTTATTTTTGCATGTTGAAATTAATTAATGAAATGTTTTGTATCAATACTGCACAAACCTATTTTTGTATTTGATTGATTTGTTTTAGAAATGAACAAGTTTTTAGCAGTACCACGACTTAAACTAGATAATGAATCAATTGAAACAACTACATCTGAAAATCAAAGTCAAGTTGAAAAAAAAATTGAAAAATTATTTGAATCGTTTTGTTCCAAAGCACAATGTGATCCAGAAGCTCCAGTTTTATACAAACAAAATCACATAAATTATATAAAAAGTCATATGTTTACTCTACCGGAGAACTATGAATGTCTTGACTCCAGCCGTCCTTGGTTATGCTACTGGTTGTGTCAATCACTCGCACTCTTAAACTGTAAATTGTCAGTAGAAGAGAAATCTAATGTCGTTTCTTTCTTATCAAAGTATGTTATTAAAATGTATAGTAACAGAAGCCTAAATAGTTATATTTCATCTTCAAATTTTTTTTAGATGTCAACATGAATCTGGTGGTTTTTGTGGTGGACCGAATCAAATGCCACACTTAGCTCCTACATATGCTGCTGTCTGTGCATTATGTTTAATTGGTACAGAAGAAGCATATGCAGTGATCAATCGAGAGAATTTATACAAATTTTTGGTATCTCTTCGTTTACCTAATGGTTCATTCAGAATGCACAAACATGGCGAATGTGATGTCCGTGCTGTATATTGTTCAGCAACTGTAGCACGTTTAACTAACATATATTCTGATGTTTTGTTTGAATCAAGTGCTCAATGGGTGATCAGATGTCAGACATACGAAGGAGGCTTTGGTGGGGTGCCAGGAGTGGAAGCTCACGGGGGATATACATTTTGTGGATTTTCATCTTTATTGTTACTTAAATCAATTCATATGTGTGACACGAAATCACTTCTTCGATGGGTAGCAAATAAACAAATGTCATTTGAAGGTGGTTTCCAAGGGCGAACTAATAAACTTGTGGATGGTTGTTATTCTTTTTGGCAAGCTGCTATTTTTCCAGTAATATCAGAACTTTTAGAATCTGAAAATCAACGTCCAATGTGGTCAATGTATGATTATCAGGCTCTCCAAGAATATGTGCTCATATGTTGTCAGAATAGATATAGTGGAGGCCTTATTGATAAGCCTGGAAAACCACCTGATGTATACCATACTTGCTACGTTCTTAGTGGCCTATCGATAGCTCAACATGCAGTTGACAACAGTAGTTGTGTTGTTGGTAAACCGGAAAACATTTTGAACAAAAATAATCCTATTTATAACATTGAAGAAACTAGTCTACAGAAAGCTCTACAATATTTTAGTATGACAGAACCAATAAATTATTTTTAAGTATGAATATAGACAAAAGTTTGATCCTAATTTAATCTTGAGGAACTTGTTCTGTGAAGTTCAAACTAAGTCTTGTTAGTGTTATATTCTATTTGTAGAGTACCGAATCCGAGCAAATACAGTTTTAAAGTAAATACTGAATTCTAAAAATATCAATATTGTAATTAAAAATATTTTATAGTGAATTTATTTGCTAAAATTAGCGCTTCCACGGCAATCAATGATTTTAGTTCTTTTTTTTTAATTTTTTGGATTTTGTGAATATTGTAATTAATAAAATGTAATGAAATTGATTTTATTTTCAAATCTCAGATTGTAAATTTTACTATGTCTTCACATACTAAATGAATAATTCTATTTCTATAATTTTATTTATTTGATGTATGAAATTAATTTTCCTAATCAAAATAAACATTATCTACTTAATTACTTAAATGTATTTGTGTTGATATGAAAAAAAAAATACTTCAATCTATAATTATCAGTTAAAAATTAAGTAACAGCAATTTTTACTTATTTTAATAAATATAACTTGATACATTAATCAACAGAAAGAAGAAATAATAAAGCCCATTTTATTCTATAATAATTTTTATTTTTATTTTTTCATTATAGTACTTAGCAAATTAATTTTTTTTATGTTGATGAAACATTATTAATTATTTTTTTAATACCACACCAAACTGACAAAAATTAACTACTACTGCTAGCAAATAAGTATTAATTGAGCATTTTCGATTTGCTTAGTGCATTAGTAGAGATCATTCATCTATTTGTTGTTCGCGGGACTTCTAATGGGACTTAGTTCGTAGATTCTGTGGCTACACGCCTACACACATTGCACTCTAGTTATTTGCATCAAAATGGTACCGACAACTTAACCAAGGACTGCTCCTCTATCGACACCCACTCATAACTTAATTTTACCTTCAAAAATATTATACATAATTATTTTTTACATCAGTGTGTTGTATAAGTGTAAGGTGTCCATGCATCTAACTAAACAATTACCTCACGGACACCAGTCCAGCCAGCGTGATAATGTAATGTATTGTGCTCGTCACTAAAAGCATAGAACAGTAAAACACCGAATGCGATATGGAAATGCTTATTGCTTATATTTATCAATATTCAGCTTCAGACTTGTCGCAACGACTTTAATAACCTATAGACATAAAATATATATATTTATATATGTATGTCTATGTATATTGTATAATATATAAATAGGAATTTTTGGATTGTTGAGTTTCTATCAAAATAGTAAATAGCGCCAGTAAGTTGACGCAACGAATCAGTTTGCCGGTCTGCCCGGTCTTGAACAAAACCACGGAATATGATTATAATCATAGTCCGTGAACAAAACACATCATATCAAACCGGTGTATAACCTGTATATTATCTTTAATCGTGATTTCTTGGTTCTCCACATGATAAATGATAAAATACTATTATTATTTTTTATTATCCATATCTTTGACTTTTCTAAAATCGTGTTTAAAGGTTTAAGAGTTTCTATTATTGTGTTTTTTTTTTCGTTTTTTTGTTTGATGTATATATCCTAGAATAATGAAACGTTTCAGTAGCTGTTTGTATAAAAAATACAAAGGTTCATTGTGTCGTGAGTATAACAAATTGTCTACTACATATCAAATTTCACATTTAAAAATATATTATATTGAATGGATTGTATTTTTTTAGCCATAAAATATGTTTCCACATCTGCAGATATTCAACCTAAAAGTGAAATTATAGCTTATCAAAATAATTTATTCGATAAAGAACAGAAACGACAAAGAGAAGCTGTTGGTCGTATTGAAAAGATTACAGTTAAATACATTGGAGTGCCTGAAAATGTCACATTGTCCATGAACAAGGGTATTTCAACCCCTTTTCATTGTGCTCAACGTATGTGAGATTGTTATTATTACTTAGTTGATTATTATTTATGATTGCCTGTTTAATTGTAGACATATCTGAAATGTTGGTTAAAAGAAGTGGATTGGCCTTAATTGATGACACACATTTATGGGACATGCATAGACCTCTAGAATCAGACTGTGAACTAACTTTCATGCATGCACAATATCTACCAGACCCGTATCATTTCAACAGAGCATATTGGCGCAGTTGTTCGCTTATACTGGGGGCTGTAATTTCTAAAGCATTTAAAGCTGACATTCAACCAACTTTACATAGTTTTCCTTCACCTAATGGTTTGTTATTTGTTATTAATTAACCATCAAATATCATTAGCTTTATTTCTTTTCAGCTCTTTGAACACTTATTAAAACTTAATTTGTTTTTACAAAAGTGTTATTAATATTGTTCTTTAATGTAATAGAATATTCTTTTCTTTTTTTTCCTTTTAATTTCTATATTCAGATAAACCATATTTACACAAATTGTTTAATAGGAATATTTTATTCATTTTATACATTTAAAAAAATATTTTTACATGCAATTTCTAAAACTAAATGCATGTAATAACAAAATATTATACTTCTCTTTTAGTAGTTTTATACATGTATATAAGTTCTAGAAAATGTATAGAAATATAACAATTCTCTGGTTAACCTCTTATGACGGGCCTTCCATCATAAATACACCACTGGTCATTTAATTTTTGTTTTTCAATATCTACATTTTTTGTATAAAATATTAGCATATATATTGATTAACAAATTTGAATTTTCATTCGCTTGATCCTTTAAACTATTTATTATTTATATTAAATATCAATATTTTGTATTAAATTAATTTGTACATAAATTATTATTAATTTTTTACATATTTTTTTTTTTTAATTCGAAAATTAGTTAAAAGTGGAAGCTTTGTTTATGATGTGGAGTTATCAAATTTACCAGAATGGGCTCCAACAGAAAATGAACTTCGAATTTTATCAGCCAGTATGGTGAAATTCGCACAAAAATCTTATAAATTTGACAGACTTGCTGTTTCTGAAGAGCTTGCGTTAGACATATTCCAGGAAAACAAGTTTAAAAAAGAACAAGTACCAAACATAGCTCAACAATCAATTGGTAAGAACTGAATAATCAATTTAAATCTCAGGTTCTGTGATCATATTATATTCTTACTTGGTTAGTTAAATGTATAACTCAGCCTGTTGATGTGTGGTGGGAAATTTTATAATTATAAAAAACAAACCTAAATTAATCAATGTCCTAATATTGCGTAATCTGGCCAATGATAAAAGTAAACTATGTGTCCAAATTGATACATTCTATAACCCATTTGACTTAGCAACAATGTTAGTTTTGATTGCTGTCATCTATTTACCTGCGCAAAATGTTTTACTTGTCTTGTGAGTCAAAAATAAATAGTAGTTTTTATGTAATACAGTTATGTAGTTTATAGTATTATATGTTCTAATACCAATTTTAACAATTTCATGATAGATAATATTTCAGTATATTATAGATAAAATGACATAATATGTTATTTTTAACAGTGAAATATTTATTTATAAAATATATAATATATTAATTAAATTGTATCTACTTTATTTTGGAGTCATATTAAGTATAGATATTATTTTTAATTTGTATTGCGTTAAATGGGGACAATGGGGCATTTTCCTCGAGACAACTATAACCTTTTCTTGTTACAATTATGTAGTGTTTCATGCCCAGGTGTTAATTATTAATTATTAATAACTATGATGGATTGTCTAGTGAAAAAATTGAAAACTGGGTGTATATAAAATGTACATTGTTTATTTTTATCTATATTAAAGGGTTTTTGAATCAACTATAACATTAGTAAATTGTACACTTGGTATAATTTCAGAGTTAACCAACTCCCCCACACCTAACAAGTTTCCTTTATCTTACTTTCTTGTATGTGTCTTATATTACTCACAAATAAGGACTTTCTTTCTTATTTGAACATAAGTATTTGTTATTGTTATGMTCTTGTTCTTGTATTTTTTGGATTTGATCCGTACATTTTAATAAAAATAATAATAATTGTTTTAGATAAAAAGGTGATTTTATACAGAATTGATGATCATATTGATATAAGTAAAGGACCTATGATAGGCAATACAAATTTATTGGGACGCTGCAGTATTACTGCGGTATGTTTAAGACAACTTTTTTTTAAATACTACATTTATATTATACTGAAGGAAAAAAAAATATGTTTTAATATAATTTTTTTTAACTTACATTAGGTGCATCGTTTAGACACCAAAAATGGTCATTTATACAGATTTCAAGGAGTCTCTTTACCCGTAAATATTATGGTAAATATAATTTATTTTATTTTTTATGAGATGGTAATTATTGATTATTATAAATTATAACATACAAATAAATATTTTATACTCAGTAATAATGAAAAATCGTGTTTATGAAAATCAATTGGCATGACTTAAGACAAAATATGTTGAATTTTCAGTTATATAGAACTTATTGATATTATCTAACTAACTACTATATTAGATTATAATCAAATAATACTACCTAAAACTAATATGCTTATGTTAAAAACATCTTCTACATCTAACTTATAAATATAAATACCTTTTGTGTAAATCTAAATCTAGAAACATAAAAAATACTCATTTAAATCTAATAATACCAAAGACATGCAATTGTCTATAACACTAATTTAAACACTTAATACATTTTATTTATTTTAAAATTATCTGAATAAATTAACTTTTTATTATTCTGATAATGGAATTGTGCAATATCTGTCCTCCATGTTAATTTTGACGCTATATACATTTTTTTTTTTCATTATAACTCTTTCAGCACGAGCTTTAAGCTTTTTAAAGAGATATTAAAATTTTTAGTTGATCATTGGTTTCAATTACTCTGTATATCACGGTTTTATACTAAATGAATCAATATTTTACCAAGAAGTTATGTTTTGTTAACATTCATACTATTTTATTTTTGTTGCAGTTAAATCATTTTGCTTACTCCTTGTTAGAACAAAGGGCCAAAAAATTAGTAAGTTTTTTATGGATTTTTTATTTTTTTATGAAATATTTATAATTATTGGTTTTACTTTTAGAATGCAGCGAGGTGGGTTGATCATGCTCAAAATGATACATATGTTCCACAATTTGCTCGGGAAGAAACTGCAGCATAATTAAAGATAATAATTAGTGTACTTTAATAATAAATTTTTTTTAATTAAAAAAAAATTCAAATCTACAATGGTTTACAAAGTTATTTTAAATACTTAAAAGTTAAAATTGGWTTAAATTATTGAGTATTAACTCCATGACCATTGAATCGGTAATTCCTAAAATATTAGCATAAAAAATTATCATTTCCATAGTTTTATCTAAAGTTACATATAATTAATTAAAACGCTGTGACTGGTATAATTGATAATACTTAGATTTATATACATTTATTAACTAATACGGATAACTAACCTAAGAGTTGGTTCTGAAAATAATAGTACTGATAATAAAGATAGGTAATTGCATAGATCTAACTAGAACTGAATTAATGCAATTCACTCAACCATAGAATACATTTATTTCTCTTATGACCATACTCACTGAGATTAGTGAGATTATTCTTAGTCCGCCATAACCATAATGTATTGTTTTTATTGTTATATTATCATGATGCTATGTAAATCTTTAAGATCCATAAAAAAGAAATGATAATGGTAGATATAACTAAGAAAACAATTTTAATTTTAATTTTTACAAATAGTTTATAGCTGGAAACTTCATTAGTGGCTCCAATGCATTTAATGAAATATTTTTAGTGATATTACAAGCTGTGAATTCCAAACAATTGGACCAAACCAAATACCCAATAATTCAGTTCAATAATGTAACTAGTGAAATAAAAAATAATATCAAACTTTAATACATTTTAAATAAAATAATATTCAATTTTTGACTTTTTTAATATTCTGTTCAAGTTTGATACAATATTTTATGGTTCGGTTCGGATTCAAATAAAATTGTGTAGGTTTGGAATGTTTGGACCTGTTAATTTAAAGAAGAGTTTAGTTTGACTTAAAATATTATGATTAGTAACATCTCTTAATACTTTTATTTATACATAAGCATGTACATCAGCAATGTTAAGTTATAAATTATTAAATCAGTAATAGAAACTATGTAAATGAATCAAACATGCTAGATATTTCAGTTTTTATATTTCATAAATATATTTAAGTATATGATATTATATATATATATATATTATATAATGTATAATATTCAAAATGCATAGATACTAAGATACCTGCACATTATTATTATGTAAATAACATTTAAAGATATTAAATTAACGTATTATTACATTATTAAATCATATAATTTATTTATTCCATTTTGGATTTTGATACAATGATAATATCCGGCAAATGGCAATTTAATTATAATTAATAATTGTAATATTGATGCCGGTTACAATGGATACATGTAAAATAAATTTTTTTATTGGTATGTTTACTGTTACAACGTGGTCTTGGATTATAATATGTGATCACAGATATATAGAATATATAAGAATTATATAAGAATATAAGTATATAAGATATAAATATATATATAAATTATATAAGAATTCTATATATCTGTGTATGTGATTACTGATTATTATTATTATTTGACTAGACAGTGTCAGTCAGACCAGTCAGTGGCCACACTGTTTCCAAAGAGAATACGTATTTTGTATCTGTCGACTAACTTCCTAACCTATAATAACTTGTATATTATGAATGTTATGACTTGTGTTCGTGTATTCTAGTTCTCTTGATTTCAGTCTTCGAATTCAGCACCGCATTCTCATTTTTCTTCGTTCCTGAAGCAAAATGGTAAGTTCATTACGATTTAAAATAAAATAATTTTTTAATTGTATTTTATTTATTATAAATCGCATTAGACTTGTCTTGTGCTTAAGTTATACCTTACCCTCAATATAATTAATCAATCCTATTTTCGAAAAAAAAATTTGAAACCATGTGGCACGTACAATATTTACGAATAATGAATAGTTCGCCGTACTAGTCGACATTGGCATTTCTAAATATTATGCACATTGATCAAGTGATTTCTACGAGGAACTAGGTTTTGATATATTCTGTTACGCTGTTACAGTAATTGCCTCAATTTATTCCTTTTCTCGATACCTCCAACTGTTATCTTCATCTATTTTCTATTTCAACATCATGTTAACATTTGGTCATTCCAAACTAAATTTCTTATATTCTGTCATGATATTGTTTCAACTAAAATGTCGACTTTCACTTCTTAAGTACAGCAAGACAAATAGATGGAATTCCCACATTGGTTTAATTGTATCATTTTTGTATTAATTTATATTTATAGTTTGGCTGTTGATAATATTATAATTAATTCTATATCTACTATAAATCTTATTTTAGACTACCAGTAAAAAGAAGACTAGGAAGTTGCGAGGCCATGTCAGTCATGGACACGGTCGTATTGGTATGTATTAACAGTTTTACTTATTACTTGGGTACTACTCTAATAGTTATATCAAGACTATTTTCAGTATGTTGCACCATTTGATCAACATAATAACGAGTTCTAGTTTTTTGTTATAAAGTGTGTGCTAAATAAATTTGATATGTTTTTCAATAATCAATTATTTGTATTGTATAACTTCAATTGAAGAAATTCAATCTACACACATTTTCCTAGATTAATCCCATGTAATGCAGATTACATTAAGATAATATTTAATGTGTACAATTTTGTTGATGAACCAAAATGATGATACTCAGTTTAGCGACAGGCGGTCTGAAGTACAATTTTTATGTGGCTAGTTTATTTCAATCTGATTGGTCCATGTGTGATGTTGTTTAAATACTATTAATTATATGAATTTTATTGATTGATTTGTTTTAAGGTAAACATAGGAAGCATCCCGGAGGTAGAGGTAATGCTGGTGGTATGCATCACCACAGAATAAATTTTGACAAATACCATCCTGGTTATTTTGGAAAGGTATTAATTACTCAAATTAACACATTATAAGTTGGTATTGTAAAGATGGACTTTAATGTACTGCAATTTTTTGTTCTTTTAACTGCTGTTCTGTTGATATAATTCACGAGTTATCAATGAATGTAGTAGTAATAAAAGAATATATTTAAATTAATTATTTCAAACAACACTTAACATATTGTTTGAAAAAAAATTATATTTTAGTAGTTTTATCAATAAATTTCTAGTATTTGAAGAATTTAAAGAATATATTATAATATTAACGATAAGAACTATAATAAATCAGTGCATTTATTAATGCGGTGATAATACCATCTTTATTCTTGCTATGTAGTGAAGCTTTAACTGCACAGAATCATCCACAGTTCTTAACATTTTTGGTTTGTTTTTCTAGTTGGGTATGCGTAATTACCATTTGAGAAGAAATTCAAAATGGTGTCCTGCTATCAACCTTGAACAATTGTACACTCTAATTCCTGAAGAAACAAGGCAAAAATATGAAAATGACAAAGAAAAAGCTGTTGTCATTGATGTTGTCTCAAAGGTAAATGTTAATGAATATTTTTGATTTAAAATTGAATCCAAGTGATGATAAAATATTGTTTAGCGACAGGCGGTCTGAAGTACAAATTTTCATGTTGCCAAAATTTAATCTGATTGATTCTTTTTTATCTTTATTATATTTTTATTTATAAAAAATTATTAACAGTATTATAGTATTATGTTATAAAAAAATTATTATTTTTCAGGGTTACTACAARGTATTGGGAAAAGGTAATCTTCCCAATCAGCCACTTATTGTAAAGGCTAAATTCTTTTCCAAAGTTGCTGAGCAAAAGATTAAGAAAGTTGGTGGTGCCTGTGTGCTTCAAGCCTAATTCGGTTTATATGTATAAATGACCCATTATATTGATAAATATAATAAAAATAACTGTTTTTTTAAAACAATTAGTGCTGAGTTTTTTTTAACTTATTTTTATAAAAAATTATATTGAATATTAAATAATTACTTGAAAACTGTTATTTTAAACTTTTCAAAACTCAATGGAATGCAATATTGTCTTTGCGGTTACAAGAAACAACAGACATGAATTGTCAAAATGATACTTTTTAGCAATTTCTGATGTAATTTCTTTACACAAGGCAAATGATTCAACTAGAACATGGTCATATTTTTTGAACATCCCGGTGGAAAACAAATGTCTTAATAATTTAAATAGGATCAAAGAAATAGGAATTGAAGTATCACTTTGAGCTTAATTGATGACTTAGGATAATTTAACTTTGTATCCAGCTTTAGTCAATATTACGGATGTCATTTAGAAATGAAAATTAAGTTATATAATTCTTGACAAAGTTGAAAACTTGGAAATTTAATAAAAGGATAACTCAAAATATTATCATTTATTGCTTTATAGTTTAAATATTAATTGGTAATATGCTACAAATAATTAAAGTATACACAAATTATGTACATTAAACTTATATAACATTGTTGAAAAAATAAAATGATAACAATTCATGATAAACGACTGTTGTTTGAATTAGAACTGTTATCAGAGGAGTCTGAATTATGAATCCGTACATGTTTTTTAGATTTTTTTGATTTATGTTTATGTTTGGAATGTCTACTGCTGCGTTCTCTCTTATGATCTTTTGATGAGCTATGATGGCTAGAGTGAGACTTTTTCGAACGTCTGCTACTTCGATCTCTGTCACGAGATGAATATCGTCTAAACATTAAATAAATAATGCAAATATATACAATTTTTATACTTGCTTTCACAAGTAAATTAATATTTTAACTACTTACTGTTCAGGAGTTTTTTCTTTACTTTCATCATAATGTTTTATTCGTTTGTAATCTTTTTCTTTCTCACACCTTTCAGTTTTTTTACGCTTATGGTCTCTGGATAATGTTTCTTAAAAATATATTTTTATAATATGGTTAACATTCATGAATCAATTTTTGTGTTTTTACAAATATAAAGACTTAGATATATTTTTGTGGAAGGTAAAATAATTTTTTACGTATAGATTAGTATGGTCTCAAACTGTGGAGGATAAAATATATCGATGTAGAGTTGAGGAACATAGTATGGACGAAACCATAGTTATTTATGAAATAAAATTTTAGCATAAATGAAATGCAGGAGTGAGCTTGCAAAAAATATTAAGGAAATCGAAAAAGATTTATTTTATGGAGAATTAAATTGGTATATAATTTAAAATGGCATACCTTGAAGCCTTGATTGCAAAGATAATTTGCCACTTTTATGTCCATTTATATTTTTATTTAAATGACCATTGTTAGATATATCTTCATCACTAGAAAGTGTAAAATTATTTTCATTAATTTGGATTAAACATTCAATACAATTAATATTATTTAAATACCGTACCTAGAATCAATAGATATTATGTCTTGTACTTTAGAAGGAAGAGGTTGAACATTTAAATCATCATCTGCCAAACCGTTTTTTTCATCTGAAGATGATTTCTGACCAACAAAAGTTTGAACAGGTGAATCTATAAAAAGTATCTCACATTGAGTTAGTTGTATATCAATTACTACAGTATAATCATTGCAATAATATCTACTACCTGGAATTTGAGTTTCTGATTTCTCTTCATGCTTAATAGTATTTGAATTTTTGGAAGACAATGATGATGATGATATGATTTTCATAGAAGCCAAAAATTGTGCAGCCTTTCTTTTTCTTTCAGCTTGAATTTTTTCTTTTTCTTTTTTGGTACGTTCTCTTTCTAACATAAAAAGTTTTTCTTTTGCTGCCATAGCTAATTTATCTTTTAATCTTTCTTCAGCTGTAAACAATATAAATTAGTAATGTATTTTGATAATTGTATTCATAAAATCCTTTAACATCAGCAAAAATGTAAATTTATTTAATGACTTGCAAATATATAAACTTAAATGTTAAAACTAAAACTTAAACATACAATGATTAAAAAAAATTTTATTTAATATTTACATTGTCCAATTAATATGATCTTAATGGAAAAAACAACATCTTTTCTACTCTCATTATATTATGGGCCTACCTAATTTAGCTGTATTTTGCAATGGATTTTTCTTCACAGACGCAGATTTGTTCGATTTATTATGATTGGATTCTGTTTTATCAATACGATCTTTTTTATGTTCATCATCGCTAGTTTCGTTTGAACTATCTTCAAGTGCACTTTTTTTTATCTCAACTGCTTCAGATTCTTTTTGTTTTTTTAGTGAAAAACACACAGGTACTATAGTAAAAATAAATGAAAGTTATTAATTACAGAACAATTGTAATTTAAATTAAAAACTTGACGTAAATAAAAAAAGTTTAAATTAAATTTATATATAAATAACAAAACACATTAAATTATTGTATAAGTAAAAGACTAAAATAAAGCAATCAAGTGAACTGATTTAAAATTTGGTAAATTTAATTTTCAGAAAATAAAAATTGGTATGAAAATAACTATAAGGTTTTCTCAATATTTTATTTATTAAAAAGTTATAAATTGAAAAGATAGTAGCTTTAAAATAACCTAATGTTTTTAAATTTGATTATTAATAAATGGTTTTATAAAATACATTCTTCTGTGTTATATATTTGTTCATTTTGTCGTCAAAACATACAGTATTTAATATAATTTTGTAGAACAATATTTAAAGTATTAGTGGGAAGCATGGAGATTAAATATAAACAGAATTAATCAATATTGGCTACTACAAAATATTGTATTGCCCCAAATTTGCTTTACTTTGAAAAAAATCGAAGTTAAGAATATGAAAATTGACAGAATCAATTAAAAGCTTATGAGATGGAAAAAGTATATAATACATGATACAAAATAAATTTTTTTACCAAAGACCACTTCTAAATATGATAATAAATTATAAGTTTTTCATAATTACATTTAGAATTTGTTTTAGAATCCACATTTGATTTGGATGGAGCTGTTTGTTCCAATCGCTTAATTGTGGCATATAGTTTAAGCTTTTGAGTATAATATGCATTAAAACAGTCATCAGGTTCTAGAAATTTCAGTCTTGGATCCTCTAAGTAAAAAAAATCAAATGAAATGTTTTTATCTAAATGTCGTTATAATGTACTTACGCCTTTTTCGAGCAGTATCTTCAAATTGTTTTCCATTTTTTGTCACATATGAAGCCATTTTATCAATTATGATTTGTAAATCATTAGGTGGCACATCAATACCAACAGTAACATTTTGATGAACTGGATTGGAAATCTCTGATTCAATCTTAGTGTTAGAAGTAGCCTAGGAATACAATAATTATACAGTTATGGTAGCAAATTAAAAAGCAAGGAAGATTTTATCATAAAGCAAAACTTAAAAATATCCTTTGAATAACCACTATTAGTTTGTGTTAAAATAATTCTCAAATGTGTGTAATCTATATAAAATAAGATATCCATTATAAACTTTAAGAAAACTAAATTTAAATATATGCATACTTCAACTGAACTTAATTCATCAACTATTTCATTATTATCATCTGTGTCTGGAGAATTTGAAGCATTTAATGTTGATTGAGAAACTAATTTTTTTTTCAAACGCCGTCTGGCTGATTTAGTAAGTCCATCAAATTCTGATGTAGTTACATTTATGGAAGGACTTTCTACTTCATTTATGATGGTTTCCTCTACAGGCATTGCAGATTGTTTCTCTTTAATTTTGTTTACTAGTAATGAGTATGAACAGTCAGCAGAAGGTTTGTACGTTATATTTGGTATAAATGGCGTCTGCAAATAAATTCAATAATAAATAAATTATTATTTAGTAGTGGTACTGAGTTGAGAATTGTGTGTAAAATGGAATTCAATTGTCAAGCTATTCCAGATAAGAATGGTAATGACATGAATAGAAATTATCTTGGGAAAAATTGTATTGACATCTTCTGAATTATGAGCCAAATATATACAGCTCACAATAAAATTGAAAAACTTTAAATAACGGTTGGTCCAATTCAAAATTAAGACTAAAATTAATAAACATCAATGATTTCTATAGCAAAATATTTTGGTACAAATAAAAGATACAGCATAAAGCATAATAGGAAAAATTGGGTTTAGGTTGAAGCTAAAAATAATTGGAGAAACTGTAACTCGATCAGCTCACAATTATTACCTGAAAAATAAAACATAACATTGAAATTGTATACAAAGATTATTGAAGATTTAAAAATATTTTTTTATAGAATGTAGTGTATGTTATTAAAATTAATTTTATTTCATGAAGATAATTTATTTACTGGTTGATTGATTAGCATTAAAGATAATGTACTTAAGTATTTAAAATACCACGGATAATCCTTAACTTACCTTACTCGTTTAGAATTAATAGAATATAAAAAAGATGTTAATCTTGTTCACGAAACAAGTTATATTATTATAATACAACAAATATAATTCTATTCATTCTTCTAACCTTACCTGTCTAAAACTTCTTAATATTGTTATTTATTTTATTATCAAATGAGACAATAATAGAATCAAGCTAAATTATTTAATTTATTGAAAATCATATTATTTGAACAAATCTAAATAATGTATACCTAATCTAACATGTTGTTAAAGTTAATTATATTATTGAAAGACATATTAGATCCAAAAACTTGAAATTTATTATTTTTATAAGACTAAAATAAATTTGAATTCATGTATGAACCTAATAATTCACACTATTTTTATTGATTAATCAAATTAATTTTTAATGAGAATGGAAAATAGTATGAAATTAATTGTTCAGCTTTAAAATAAATATAACCCATTAATTAAATTAACACCATAAACAGCTGTAGAATAAAATAAATTAATACTAGAAGAATATATTAAATTATATATATTATATGAAATATTTTTATTTAACAATGCATAATTTTATTATACTAAAAATAGTAAAATATAATGTCGAGTTTCAATATATTGTTGAATTTCAAGAAAGGAACAATTTTTTTGCAATTACAGTGTGATCATTTTGGTGAAATAAATCTTTCAGTAATTACTACTTTAACATAATATCTTTATAACATCAACAATTTAAGTCAGAAAAAATTCAAGTTTTCAAACAATATCATTAGAAAATTATCAATGTTTTGGTTTTGAAAATGAAATTGTTTAACTAGAGACTTTTGAAAAGATATCACATCATTAAAAATTAAACATTTTTCTCTGAGAAAAGAGTGTTTTAGAGCAGTGTCCAAGCACGGATTGGGCTGGTGGGACACCAGGAGTTTTCCCGGTGGGCCGGGCTACTAGGTCGTTTTTTTTTTTTAGAATAACAGATTTTAATAATTATTATTATAAATTTAAACCATGTGTAGCATGGACTTATAGTAATTTAGGATTGGCATACAAATATCTTTTAACACTGCCATTAACTCAGGTACATATATATTTTACAAAATTATTTAAATACAATATTAATATTGATTCATACCATTTATGTTTTGCATAGGTAGCATGTGAATGAACATTTTTGACATCAAAATTTATTAAAAACAGATTAAGGAGCAAACTATCAGAATCTAAACTAGAGGCGTTTATGTTAATGTCCGTCGAAAAATAAGTACTTTATAATATAGACACAGATGACATAATCAATAAAATAGCTAGTATACCTCTAAAACATTAACTAAAGGATTAATAAATTAATTGGTTATAAATATATTTGTGTAACCAAATTTGAATATATATTTTTTTCAAAAAGTGCCGGCTTAGGTACAGGTTTCCCCGGCCAAAGTTTTATCCCAATCCGTTCCTGGCAGTGTCTATAAGTAATAACCTACTTAATAATTGAACAATATAGATTTTTAAATAAAAATATCAACCCAAGAACTTGTTAAGGAATTATCTAGAAATGTATCTAATTATTAAATTATATTATTTTCAAAACATTAAACAATTTAAAAGGAATCACATAACTTACCAGCATCCAGACCATGGGGCATTCAAGATGACCATTCTGAATACAATTAAGTATTATCTTCATTTGTATTGTAAGATCATGGTTTTTACAATTTCATCAGAAATCTATATTTATGTAATTTAACCAAAAGTCTTCATCTTTACCTTTTACCTCAATATAATCTTTTATGTATATAGATGATGTACTCCACTTGCTATATTATAAATGATTCACTTATCTACAGTTATAACCAACACATTATAATGCAATGATATCACTTGACGTCAAATTCCTACTATTTAACAGATCAGTTTACTTAAAATAAATTATATAATAAAATTGCATTTCTTAATCAAAATTATTAAGTAAAAATAATTTTTTTCTTAAAAGAAAGACTTAGTTAATAAGTACTATTTTATTTAAATTTAAAATAAATCTTTTTTCTTAAATTTGAAAGTAATTTATATAAAGGTTCTTTTTAAGTATGACTACTTCAGCAAGAAATAATATCTGCTATACTTAAATATATAATATGATCAAATGACGTTAGATATCAGAGACAAGTAATGTTATTACATGTTTTTTTTTCAAAATCAATGAATTATTTTAAAATAATATTTGTTAACATTTGTAATAGATAAATACTAGGGCACCTACCGTTTCTGGTTGTTTTGCACTTTTTAATAGGCTTGGATGAAGGTAACTTTCTTCATTTGAGGAATCTAACGAATCTAAAAAAAAGTTATTTATTTTACTAATAATTTCTGTTTTACGAACACATAACATACATCTTAATTTCCAAATTTAATTAAATTAACATCTCAAAACTGGACTGAAATTCTGACAGTTTTGTTGAAAATCCAATAGAAAATCCCAAGTAAAAATATGAATCAACTGGATTATTAAAAAATATGAATAGTTTTAATTTTTAAAATAAACAAATAAAACACCAATGAAAACATAATTATTATTTGGGAGACATTAGGAAATTTCAGATACAAGCATGACAGTTTGTAGGCTATACGCTATACAGTAATTTCTTGTTATCCACAGCTGAGTTGGCAATAATATTTTATTTTAGAAAATTGTAAATAGTTATTATTATATTGTCAAATATAACTATAAAACTATGTTTATATGCACAGATAGGCATTACATTATGACTAATTTTCTTTCCTTATATCTTTAATATGTTCAATGGTTTTTTCATCAGTCGTAATTTATGTATGTTAGATAAATAATAAATTACATAATGAATCATAAACAATAAAAATAATAATTAATCAAATACATAACTGTAAAAAATATTAACCTTTTTGTGACTTTTAAAATTAAATACAATGCAAATAAACCATAATCTTTCATTTTACATTGCTTTATAAACTCGTTATCCAAGGATTAGATATCCGCGTAACTTTGATGGTACGTAACCCCTGTGGATAGTGAGGGATTACTGTACAATAGTCTATTTTAAATCTTAGGAAGAGACCAAATACTAAAGCCAGAATTGAAGTTAAACAAAACATTTGAAAAAAAAACTATTCAATTCACAAAATTTTGCCTGGCAGTTAAAAAATCCAAACTTTTTGTCATTTATTTTTCACTTTTATGGTATTTTAAGAGGACATGATACCCGCATGTGTTGTCTCTGTCTTACAAGTGCATTATATAGTAAATTTTACGTTCAGCAGAACACGTGTAGCTCCATTTGCTTAAAAATTAGAGTGAACTGACCCCTTATAAAATTTAAAGGTAAGATTATTATCTAGACAACCTTGACGCGGTCCCGCGTAATAGTCGTTTGAATTCAAACGGCCTTTGCGCGGAAACCCGCTCCGTCTATTCTCTCTGTCAACCGCCAATCGACGATGGCAGACACCGACACGCGCCTGGAAATGTCGACCGCCGGTACCGCGAACCAGCTTGTAGTAAGTCAGTTCCACGGCCGCGTTTGAGTGACACCCACCCGCACTACCACTGTCCTCACACGTACCGTCACCACACACAAGTGTTGTTTTTTTTATTTTCTCTCTATCCACTTGTACTCAGTCGCTTACTTTTTGTAGTTGTGTTGTTGTTTTTCTTTTCTGACTTGCAAATAAATAATCAACCTCCGCACTTACGCGACTCAAAAACAGTGTTTTTTTTTTGTGCACACTTCTCCTCTTTCACAGTTGCGGTATCCGTCCAGGACCGCCACAACCTCATATGCTTTTTATTTTATTTAAAGGAAGTTATGAGTATTTTAAGATGCACAAAAAATTTACAATTTTAAAATACTCATAACTCGCTTTAAATAAAATAAAAAGCATATGAGGTTGTCTAGATAATAATCTTACCATTAAATTTTATAAGAGGTCAGTTCACTCTAATTTTTAAGTTAACGGAGCTACACGTGTTCTGCTGAGCGAAAAATGTACCATGTTACGCATTTGTAAGACGGAGACAACACATGCGGGTATCACGTCTTCTTAAGCCATTTTTAAAATCTACTGGTAATTTTCAATTATTTCTTTTCAAAAGTACTAACTAGATTCACTTTTTTGAAAAGTTGCTGATATTGAAAATCATAGTATTTTTACTACCCAAATGTTGATGACAGACAGAAAAAAATATACATATCATCATAAATACAAGACATAAATTTACTCCACTCAGAATCTAAAAACAACTACCTCACTACTCTGCCTTTAACACAAAAACAATAATTTAGTTTAAAAATGGGTAAATCATTGTTTAAAATAAACAATTTTACATTGATGAAATGGGCATGTATGAAATCAAGCATTAAGATTATCAACAATTCCCAAATGTCCAATGATAAAGTGATTAGAAACATAGTTCCAATATTATAATTATGATTTAATATTTTTTTCTCACTAAAAAGAATATTTTATGTATTGCTTTAAAATTATAAAACCATTACCTTCAGCACTATCATTAGCAAGTGTAGGATTATAACGGCAAGACCGGATAGCTGAAAGTACATGTTGATAGTAAGGGTAAAGTGGTCTGTCGAATGACAAAAATTCAAACTGAGGATTGTGTGCTTGTTTAGCTTTTAATAAAACTTCCATTTGTGCTCCATGCTTGGATATAAACAATGCTGTTTTTTCAATAATAGCATTTAATTTTTTTGTTGGAGGCTAAAATTAAAATCAAATTAAAAATGACATAGTTATATTTTTTTAACTTTTTGTTTATCTTACCACATGCATATTAGAAGGAATGTCCAATTCTCTAGGTGGAATAAAAGCTTCTTCCAATTCTGGATCATAATCTGTATCATCTGCAGTTTTTAGTTCAGAAGTATTTGAAGATTCATCCTCATATTTATAACCAACTTGCCCATATTCTTTTTCATCATTATTTAAAGCCTGGTGGAGCCGTTTAAGTTCTTCCTCTATAAACAAATATTATAACATATTATATAACTAGGGCTGGGATTTTAATGCCCTCAAAAACCACGAAAAATGTCCTAAAAAAAATGCTTTTATGACCTAAAAACTCAAAATAATGCCCTAAAAACCCCGAAAAATGCCCTAAAAAAGGGCAATAAATCTACAAATTTTTTAATTTTTAATAATTTTAGTATA